TGCTGACCTTGAGCCAGACATCCTGGAGAGTGAAGTCAAATGGGCCTTAGAAAGCACTGCTAATAAGAAGGCCAGTGGAAGTAATGATATTCCAGCTGAACTATTTAAAATTTTAAACGATGATGCTGTTAAGGTGCTACACGCAATATGCCAGCAAATTTGGAAAACTCAGCAGTGGCCAGAGGATTGGAGAAGATCCGTCTACATCCCAATCCCAAAGAAGGGCAGTGCCAAAGAATGCTCCAGCTACCGCACAATTGCACTCATTTCACACGGTAGCAAAGTTATGCTTAAAATTTTACAAGGCTGGCTTAAGCAGTATGTGGACCGAGAACTCCCAGAAGTGCAAGCTGGATTTCGAAGGGGCAGAGGAACCAGAGACCAAATTGCAAACATGCGCTGGATTATGGAGAAAGCTAAAGAGTTCCAGAAAGACATCTACTTCTGCTTCATTGACTATGCAAAAGCCTTTGACTGTGTCGACCACAGCAAACTATGGCAAGTTCTTAAAGAAATGGGAGTGCCTGATCACCTCATCTGCCTCCTGAGAAATCTCTACGTGGGACAAGAAGCTACAGTTAGAACTGGATATGGAACAACTGACTGGTTCAAAATTGGGAAAGGAGTACGGCAAGGCTGTATATTGTCTCCCTGCTTATTTAACTTATATGCAGAATTCATCACGCGAAGGGCTGGGCTGGATGAATCCCAAGCCGGAATTAAGATCACCGGAAGAAATATCAACAACCTCAGATATGCAGATGACACAACCTTGATGGCAGAAAGTGAGGAGGAATTAAAGAACCTTTTAATGAGGGTGAAAGAGGAGAGCGCAAAATATGGTTTGAAGCTCAACATCAAAAAAACAAAGATCATGGCCACTGGTCCCATCACCTCCTGGCAAATAGAAGGGGAAGAAATGGAGGCAGTGAGAGATTTTACTTTCTTGGACTCCATGATCACTGCAGATGGTGACAGCAGTCACGAAATTAAAAGACGCCTGCTCCTTGGGAGAAAAGCGATGGCAAACCTAGACAACATCTTAAAAAGTAGAGACATCACCTTGCCAACAAAGGTCCGTATAGTTAAAGCCATGGTTTTCCCGGTAGTGATGTATGGAAGTGAGAGCTGGACCATAAAGAAGGCTGATCGCCGAAGAATTGATGCTTTTGAATTATGGTGCTGGCGGAGACTCTTGAGAGTCCCATGGACTGCAAGAAGATCAAACTCATCCATTCTTAAGGAAATTAGCCCTGAGCGCTCACTGGAAGGACAGATCATGAAGCTGAGGCTCCAATACTTTGGCCACCTCATGAGAAGAGAAGACTCCCTGGAAAAGACCCTGATGTTGGGAAAGATTGAGGGCACAAGGAGAAGGGGACGACAGAGGACGAGATGGTTGGACAGTGTTCTCGAAGCTACCAGCATGAGTTTGACCAAACTGCGGGAGGCAGTGGAAGACAGGAGTGCCTGGCGTGCTCTGGTCCATGGGGTCACGAAGAGTCGGACATGACTAAATGACTAAACAAATGGAAAATTGATTTCAAATTTACAGATTGTTCTTTGCTGAAAGAAAATTATATGAAGATGATGTATAGATGGTATATGACTACAGTGCAGTTAGGAAAAATGTATAAAACTAGCTCAAATATGTGTTGGAAGTGTAAGGAAAAGGAGGGGACATTTTACCATATGTGGTGGGATTGTAATGAAATTTTAAAAAATTGAAATGATATACAATGAATTGAAGAAAATGTTCTATCTAACATTTGTTAAGAAACCTGAAACATTTCTGTTAGGGATTGTAGGAAAAGATCTGCGAAGGAAGTTGAAAAATATCTTCATGTATGCGACAACAGTGGCGAGAGTCTTAATAGCACAAGGATGCAAGAACGAGGAAACCCCGACTAAAGAACTATGGCAAGAGAAACTGATGGACTATGCAGAACTGGCAAAATTGACACATAAACTACAGGACAAGGATAACTGTGACCTTAAAGATGAATGGGAAACTTTTACAAAGTATTTAAAGAAGCGAACTGGACTCCTTGGCAGGCTTTGAATGCTTCAAGAAAGCATCCACAAGATTGCAGTCAAAGCCTCATATGTACTGTTCAAAATGTTATTAGAGCATAGCAGATATCATAGTTAATAAAATGACAGATCCAATTTTTCCTACCTTCTTAAATCGCTTGGGCCACACAATTGCTTCTGGGTTAATGGTGAACTTCAGATTTGAGGACTTTAGTCTCTCTATTCTCCCAATTTTCACTCTATCATGAGAGTTATTAGGAAACAGCACCCAATTCACGATATCAAAGTCAACGGCCAGTGCTCCATTCTCATCCAGGTACTGTCCATCAGCTGAAGTATTAGAGTAGAACTGGACTTCTTTCAAGAAACGATGAAACTAGAATGACGGAATGAGTAAGCAGTGCTGCATTATAAACATGGTTTCATGGTTTCATGTTCCCTCTGCATGCTAATCTTCTCTGTATCTCTCGCCTGGATTCATCTGACCATGCTAGATTATTACCTGCCATGGCTGTAGCTTTTGAAGATCCAAACTGCCTCCACCCACTATCGACATCCTCTTTGACCTGGATGAATATGCGGCATTTAAAGCTTGAGCCACAGTTTGGATACTCAAGTAATTCACATAGCTGTCTTGGGACTGGATTCTTTCAATCTCTTCCTGGGGCAGCATCTTCACATTATCCTTCTCTCTGCATTTGGTCATACCTCTCACAGACAAGACATGCTTTGAATATGAACAATCAAATGCTTCTTCTGAATACTGTTGACTAGCCAAGGACATTGGCCCATAGTAGTCTTTCTTCATCCTTTTTTTGGTCTTCATTACAAAGGACAAAGAGCCATGGGCATACCGGAAGCAGTCAATATCATGTAACAACATTTTGTTATGAAGAACTGTGGTTATCCAGACTTTCCCCCCAGTTTGTATCCTTTCAAGTAAGGACTCAACCTCTATGATTATGAAAAGTCCACTTTGAGAGTCTGCAAAGTAAACAAATACATTGACTTGTCTCCACAGGGCAGGTGCTTCATGGGGTATCCATAGCCAAGTTTCTCGTTGTACTCTTTGTGTGAAGGCAACACAAATTTCCCTTTTGTTCATTAGAGGTGTCAAGGTACTCAGGAAGCTTTCCCCATTGTCATTGTCTGGAGCAAAGAGGCCGACCCACGTCCACCTGAAATGCAGGAGAAGTTGGACCATCCCCTGGTACTGCGTTTCTTGGTTTGGGACCATCCGGTAGACAAAAGGGGACTGGAATTTATCAGTAAGAGCAAAGCCATAACTGAGCTGGTAAAAAAAAGAGAGAATTGTGGCTTGCATTTCAGGATTAAGACTGGATACTTCTATGTGAAAGATGCCGACAGATTTATTCAAGCATCACTGTTTTTTTTTGGAATTTAAACACCATTTTTTAAAAGTTCAAGCAATTCTTATACCGATTAGGGGCAAAATTCTCTATGCAGTTAAGAAAGAGTCAATAAAAAAATGATCAAGAAGGTAAAACTCAATAATCAAACTTCAATTAAAATGCCTGCTGCAAGCAAAGAAAAGAAAAGTTTTCTGTAGGCTTTAGAAAGTCAGTAGGGTGGTCAAATGGGCCCAAGAATTTGGATTTAATATCCTTATGGAAGCATGAGAAGGATTGTGGAAGGAAGATCTTGTCAGTATTTGAAAAGGAACGAGTTCTGACCTTCTTTGCCTGGTCCTCAGACCCTAGTCAGCACAAAGAGTCCTTGAGAAAGAGTACTTTGCAGAATGCTGCTTTTATTCTTAAAAGAAGTCTCCTCCAACCATGACTAACAGCTTTATACATACACCAAACTCAGCCAACTTTCTGCCATTCAAGCAACCCTCCACCACACACAATCAATGACCACTCTATATATACAGATATTTGTAGGTGAAAGGTTCATGAGTCATGCAGGCTTTGCCGATTCATTGTAGGCCGCTGACTCATGCTGACTTTGGTATTAAAGAAACAGCGGCTAATTTTAAGCTGTGACAGATCTGAGGTTTACTGCATGCTGTACCTTGAAAGAAAATTTTATGAAAATGCTCTATCGCTGGTATTTAACTGTTAATAGCCAGAAACTGGAAGACTCAATCCCGACCAACTGGAGACTCAATCCCGACCAAACTGGAGTGGCAAGAAAAATGGCTGGAGCATGCAGAGTTGGCATGAATGACGGGGAAACTAAGAGACCACATGGAACAAACATTTAGGAGAGAATGGAACTTGTATAGAAAATATCTCAGTGAGCACCGTAAAAATATGAATTCACTGGTAGGTCTGCAGTGACTGCTGCAGAAATGTAGAAAATCATAGGAAAACAAAATAATGGAGATTCATTTGGAATGATTAAAAAAAAAAGTGTGACACGTTAAAAGCATTTAGGATCCACAATGGGCTGATGGGAAGTCGTTATAAAAGTTATTTATAATGAAAGAAGCTAATCATGTGGGGATATGCATTTTTCTTTTTCTGAATGTACACTTTTTTTTGAATTCAAAAGAGCATTTGAAGAAGAAAGAAAAGAAAGAAAGAAAGAAAGAAGCCTGTCTGTCCTCAACTGCAAGGGAGTTCCATCACCCTTCATCCCCTCCAACATCTGGGTGAAGAAAAGGCTAAGGAGTAAACCCTCCACAAATCCTAAGTCAGCTGAGTGCTGCTTTGTTTGCCTCCTTCCAGCAACTCCTGCAGCCAAGCTTGTGCCAAATGCATTGCTCTTCTTTCCTTTGGATCACAGCAGTGAGGCTGAGAGGGAGATCTTGTCATCTGGGCAGCCCTGGACCTCCGTACCCACTGCCTAGGCTTGTGCACAGTGGAGGTCACTTAGATGCTACTAACACAGTGGTTTGACTTCATCCCAGAGGCTCATGCCACCATCTTTCAAGACAGACAGATGCCAACAACCAGGTGGTTAATGTTGCCAGGTGTGTTTCACTTGGACCCATTGATTACCTGTGGGATCTTGTAGATGCCCAACATGCTTGCAAGGTGTGTGGAGATGTCAAATTCACTCTTTTCAAGAACAGCCAGTAACGTTTTCTGCTTCCCACAGCTGTAGTTTGGAATGTTGACTTTCCCACCAGCAAGCAGGTCTGTCATGGAGTCAGAAGTCAGTCTTCCCTCAGAATAGTTATCATAGATGCTGTAGCCGAGGGTGATGTTGGGTAAGAGACTGGGGTTATGATTAATATCCCGAACAGCAAAGGAGAAGGAAATAACATGTGAGTTCTTCTTATCCACCCAGCTGCGAAAAAAGTGTGTCACACAGTGAGCCTCAATTCAGTGAAAATGAAAGTCACATTCTTTTTGTATAAAAGCAGCTAGGAAAATAGGTGAGGAAGTAGAGCAAAGAGAGACCGAGATCTACCTGTACCTGTGTCTGTAGTATCTTTGCAAGGGAGGAGTGTGGAGGGAAGACTAGAACACAAATCAGCCTCATTTCTGGTGACCTACCAGAAAGCCAAATTGACCCCCAGGCTGCTTTGTAAATGACTAAGCACAGTTGACATTTACGATTTGCAGTTGCATAGATTTTGTTGTTCATGGGGGAAAGAAATGTGTTCACATTTTATTTACTAAGGAAAACTTGCAACTTGAACACATCCCAAAGCACTTCCAACCCTTTAGAAAACACGTTATGCTTTGGAGAACAGTACATGCCAAAACTCCTACTAATTACTTAAAACATATTGTAAGATGTGTTGCAACATGGCTTTTCACCAATAAGAGTAATAATAATTTCTGGTTGGGTTTTCCTAGCCACCATCTGAACAGAAACATAGAACTCATTAAATAAATGAAATGAAATGAAAAATTTCAAGGGTATCAGAAAACAAGTGTATCACGGGAAATGGAGACTACGTAGGAAGCAGAAGTATATCAATGCATCATTACTTACGAGTCAAGTCTGCTGACAGGGGTGCTGGAAAAGGTGAAAGGAAATTGAGCATTAAAGAATCCTGAAAATGTGACCCCACTAATGAGGTGGTCTGCTAGCCGGTAAAAATTTGCAGCTAATTTTCGCTCCTTGATTGGATTCAGTGGGCATTTTGTCCTCTGCTGCATCCCACTGGTTGCAAGAGGCAGCAACACAAGCAGTGTTATCATTCTGGGTCTACCTGCTACACTTTCCTTGTAGCTGTTCCACCCAACACTAGCTGCTGGTCTTAATAGGCCCCAAATTCATGCAAATCAGAGATTGCAGTAAATTGACAAATGCACCTTCTCACTTCACCTGCTCTATATCTTGCCCCCCTAGATTTTGTGACACAATATATATCTTATAGATCCAACTTTCCTGGCACAGTGGAATAAAAAACTTCCTGCTGCCCTTAATTGCGATATTTACCTTATTTGTCCCAAAGGCAATATTCAAGCGGTGGGGTGGGGGCTACTTAGACTCAGGAAAGAATAAAAATAGCTCACTGTGATTCTGATGATTGTAAAGGGAAGAAAGATGTCCCCTGAAACTTGATGGGAGCAGGTGCAGAGCCGAAGAAAACATGTTTACTCAATAGGCTGCCACAGATCATCAAGGGTAAAGGTGACTTTGGCAAAACATGACTGACATCAGAAGAGCGCTGAGGTTGCATCAGGCCAAAGGCCCACAAAGTCCAGCATCCTGTTCTCACAATGGCCAACCACTTGACACAAAGGGAAGGCCACAAGCTGGAGATGAGAGCAGAACGTTCCCTACATGCCATTTTCCTACCTCCAAAGGAGGAGTGATAACCAATGGCTTCAAGTTGCAGGAAACAAGATTCCAACTAGACATACGGATAAACTTTCTGACAGTAAAAGCTGTTTGACAGTGGAATGTCTCCCTCTGGAGGTTGTGTGCTCTCCTTCCCTGGAGGTTTTTAAGCAAATGTTGGACCTATACAATGAATTCAAAAAACCAACAAAAGTACTGAAACTCTCAGTAAAAGACCCAGAGAGAGTGCATTGCAGCATCCCAATCTTGAATTCAAGGGTGTGCCCATTTGAGTAAATTGTCATGGAAGCCCTTAAGTCCTAATTGGGCCCGATGGCAAGTTCTGCATGGGTATGGTCTTCCAAAACTATGCCAGAAACCACCTGTGCCAGCTCAGTCAGTGGTGCCCCTGGGCATGGTTCATACACCATCAACATCCCCTAGCTGTCTCTCCAGCCCAACAAATACATCCCAAGAGCTAGAGATATTGTTGGAAAGGAAATAATGCTTCTATGGACAATTGCAGCAGGGCAATTGTCCATTGAAGATCCCAGGGCTGTTCAAAACATAAAAATCCAAAAGGGGAGTTAAAAATCAAGCGTGCTGAGTTCCACCCAACATTATGGGTGCCCAGTGCATGCTTGTGACGCCACGTGTGCTTGTGACATCACTCCTCATCGCTGCAGCAAGAGGGTCCAACATATCCAATGGAGGACCACCCTAAACTGCCCACCATTCTTCCTCCTTTGTGCTGAATAGGTTTTCATCAGGTGTGAACATGCCATGTCTTGTTTTTGTTTATCTGACCCAGTAACTTGGAATTGGATCCATTTCACGTTCTTTGGATACATGACCACCTATTGTAAATATTCATACCGTTACCACTTTTTACTTTTTACTTTTTAAAAAAAACTTTTACCACATACCTTTTTAAGGGGAGGAGAGAGCCATTTTCTCTCCCCTTCTCTTATTGCTGTTTGACTCTGCATTAAAGTGCTTGTTCTGCTGCTGACCACTAGGTGCCATTTCTTCATTCTGGGCATTGGCCGTCCCTTTTGGACCCCATCCATTATCACCTGTGCTGCTGGATAAAGCGGGTGGGTCAAACAAGCAAAAATGGGAGATCTCAGTTAAGATGAAATTCTCAATTCTGCCCCTTCTATCACTATTAGACTCTTAGGGCCTACCGTATTTTTCGCCCTATAGGACGCACTTTTCCCCCTCCAAAAATGAAGGGGAAATGTGTGTGCGTCCTATGGGGCGAATGCAGGCTTACGCTGAAGCATGGAGAGCGAGAGGGGTCGGTGCGCACCAACCCCTCTTGCTCTCCAGGCTTCAGGAGAGCCCCGTCGCCAGCCCCGCAAACTTGGGGGACAGCAGGAGAGGCACAGCGCGCCTTTCTCGCTGTCCCCCGACTTGGCTAGAAGGCTGGCGGGGGGAGAAGCCTGTTCCTCCCCGTCGCCAGCCCCGCAAACACGGGGGGCAGCGGGAGAGGCGCAGCGCGCCTTTCTCGCTGTCCCCCAACTTGGCTAGAAGGCTGGCGGGGGGAGAAGCCTGCTCCTCCCTGTCGCCAGCCCCGCAAACTCGGGGGACAGCGGGAGAGGCGCAGCGCGCCTTTCCCGCTGTCCCCCGACTTGGCTAGAAGGCTGGTGGAGGGCTTTCCCCTCCTCCAGCCCCGCAAGCTCCCAGAGCGATGCCAAAGCTGCACGCAGCTTCCACATGGCTCTGGGTCCCATTCTGGGGGCTGTGGGAGGGGGAAGCTCCGCTTTCCCCGCCCCCAGCCCCACAAGCTCCCAGAGCGATGCCAAAGCTGCCAAAGCCCGAGCTTCCCCAGCCCCGCGCCTGGGGGGGGGGAAATAAATTTTTTCCCTTTATTCCCCCCCAAAAAAATCTAGGTGCGTCCTATGGGCCAGTGTGTCCTATAGGGCGAAAAATACGGTACTTTGCTTTACCCAAGCTTCTAGTTAAACCAGAGCCTGGTACAAAATAATGACTATGGGGAGGGTCACCATTGAACGTCAGATGAGCCCTGCACCTGTGTTGGGTTGAATGAGGCTAATGTAGTCCAGCATTCTGCTCTCACAGCAGCCAAACAGATGTCCCAAGGATGCCTGGAGCTGATTTCTGCAATGCGTAATTCCAATGCGTACTTCAGAACTAAGGCCCAGGATTCCTCTGAGCACAGGCCCACATGAGAAATTTATTCTTAGCACCAGAATATGGATTTATATTGTGTCACATAAAATTACTCTTCTAATCCCCTCAATTTCTTTTACCTGACGCAACCTCATTGAGGGGTGGGGTGGAGAAGGCCTTTTTTGTTGTTTGTTGTGCAGGATTTTAATATAGGCTCACCCCTCTGATGGTTTAGGATTAATCACACTGAGATGTCTGACTGCAGGCAGCAATCATACAGATTCTAGACGGGTGAGGGGCTTGTCAGTTATTAAGACCATACAGAAAGACACCAGGAACAATATAATAAAAGGAGATTTTACTTCAAGGATCAGAGTGCGAAATACAGGGGGAAAATCTGAAGGAAACAGCACGAGAGATCAATATAAACTGACACATGCAAAGCAGCAAAGGCATTTCCAGAGAGACGTATTCTGCCCAGGTGCAGCTATTTCTGAATAGGAGACAACTTTCTATGCTTTCAAATTGCCTTTATAAAGCATCATTTGTGATATTAAATTGTTGGCATAGAAACGAGAAAATGCCTACATGAGGCCATTATCACATGCATACCGATGTTCTGTAGCTGACACAAAACTTTACCCAAGTTCTCTTTATGTCTGAGTCTGACAACTTTAATTTTCCTGAGACCACTCATCTCCTTTCTATCTAAAATCAATCTCCATGTCCAGTCCAAAACCAAAACGTCAGTCATGTCCTTCCATGTTCTTAGTTTCTCCTAGACTTGCATTTTTGATTCTCATCAAGAGTCATTTGCCCAAACCATCTCTCTTCTCATAAACTTTTTGTAAATGTGTATACTGGCTGAGACCCTACCTGCCTGCAGACTGTCTCCCCCAGAGTGGTGCAGGCCCTGGTGATCTCCAGCTTGGACTACTACAATGTGCTTTACATGGAGTTACCCTTGAAGGAGATTCAGTGACTACAACTAATCCACAATGCGGCAGCTAGACTGGTGCCTGGGAGTGGCCACCGAGACAATGTAACATTGGTCCTAAAGGGTCTTCACTGGCTCCCGGTACATTTCTGAGCAAGATTCAAAGTGTTGGTGCTGACCTTGAAAGCCCTTGACAGCCTCAGCCCTGTATACCTGAAGGAGTGTTTCCACTCCCATCGCAACACCTGGACACTGAGGTTCTCCTCAGAGAGCCTTCTGCGGGGTCTCTCATTGCAAGAAGCAAGAGTAGCAGAGAAGAAGGCAGATGGCCTTCTTGGCTGTTGCACCCTCCTTGTGGAACACCCTCCCCCCTCGGATGTCAAAGAGATAAAGAACTAAATAACTTTTCTAAAACTCTGTATCAGGAAGTTTAATGTTTGATGCTTTATTAAGTCTCAATATGTGCTGTAAGACGCCCGGAGTGGCTGGAGAAATAAATAAAATAGTAGTAGTAGTATCAGATTCCCATAAGACCTTTATCGATATCCCTTATGTAGCCAGTTAAGCATCATTTTTCTTCTGATTTAGCTAAGTTCATTTTGTACTTTAGCAATTCAGTTTGCAACGTCTTAAGCAGCTTATGAAATCCTGCTACGGGTAATGAGCAGTTTTACTCCAGTTGAGATTGTGGCTGGGACTTCCAGCTGTACAATTTTATGATATTCCTAGAACTAAGGATCAAATGTCATGGTTAGTTTTTTCTTGCCAGGTGCTCCTTTGTGTTCAATTCAGGCCTCAATATAATAATGTGGCATTTGGGAATGAAGATGCAGCCCAGGAGCCCAGCACTGGAAGCCAAGATAGAGAAGATCTGCACAGCTACCATGAATTTTCCCTTTGTGCTCAGGTAAGTGGGAACAAAGGACACCCAAACACTGCAGAAGACCAGCATGCTGAAGGTGATCAGCTTGGCTTCATTGAAGGCCCCAGGCAGATTCCTTGCTAAGAAAGCCACTGTGAAGCAGAAGGCAGCCAGGAAGCCCATGTAGCCGAGGGCAGTGTAAAACATGGCCACAGAGCCTTCATTGCATTGGAGAATGATCTCTCCAAGCTGGGAGCTCAGGTCAAAATCTGGGAATGGAGGACAGAGCCCCAGCCAGATGGCGCAGATGAGAACTTGGACACTGGAGCAGGAAATGACAACGGAGTTGGCCAAACCCTTCCCCAGCCATCTCCTCACCCTGTTCCCTGGCTTAGTGGCCAGGAAGGCCAGCACCACAGTGATGGTTTTTGCCAAGACAGAAGAGACAGCAGCTGAGAAGATGATGCAGAAGGCTGTTTGACGGAGAAGACAGGTCATGTTCCTTGGCCTCCCAATGAAGAGGAAGGAGGACAAAAAGGAGAGCAGTAGAGAGATGAGGAGGATGTAGGAGAGGTCCCTGTTGTTGGCCTTGACTATTGGTGTTTCCTTGTATTTGATGAAGATTCCTAACACAAAACATGTGGCTAATGATAAGAGGAGGGCAAGGGAAGCCAGGATGCTCCCCAAACATTCTTCATAGGACAGGAAGGTTATTTCTTTGGGGACACATTGATCTCGGTCTTCATTTGGATGCTGATCTTCTGGACATTTGGTGCATTCATCAGCATCTGCATAGAGAAAAACACACTTTGGTATCCTAACATCAGTCACACACCTCAAATTTGCTGACATCACTGTTGCATTTGGTGATTAACAGGTTGGCAGCAGCAGCTACCTGCTTTTTCACCTGGGAAATTAAGATCTAGTGCAAAGACCAGAAAAAATTCTGGACCCCTGGATTAAACAACTGTGGTTAATTTGGATGGCATGCATACTTGTGGTACGACAAGGTAAAGGTTCATAAAATGTTCAAAAACCATATTGTCAGAAAGGCAATATTTATTGTCTGGACAAAATATAAAGACTTATTAGAAGGCAAGACCCCGAGATGGCTATCACCAATGGAGGCTAAGGCTCAAAAAAGACCCAATATGGAGGCCGGTTGGCCGAAATATTGGGAAATAATAGAAAAAATTGGAGACAATTGGAGGTTGCAGAGCTTTGAAAAATTAAAGAATAAGGTGCAAGATTGGTTTCATTATGCCCAAATTCAAGAGGTTTTTAAATTGGACAAAAAAACAGGATTCCAGGTGGAAAAATCGAAACTAGAGACAGAACTGTTAGAACCCAAGACTAAGGTACTTTCAAGAATGTATAACTTGCTGCTTAAATGGAACACTCAGGATGAGACAGTCAAATCAGCCATGATAAAATGGGCTCAGGATATTGGGTATAACATCATGTTTGAGGACTGGGAAAGGTTATGGACCACCGGAATGAAATTCACGGCATGTAATGCCTTGAAAGAAAATATTATGAAAATGATATATAGGTGGTACATGACCCCAGTCAAGCTTGCAAAAATATATCACCTGTCTGATAATAAATGTTGGAAATGTAAGGAGGCTGAAGGGACATTCTTTCACCTCTGGTGGACCTGTCCAAAAGTGAAGGCCTTCTGGGAAATGATCTATAATGAGTTAAAAAAGGTATTTAAGTATACCTTTCTTAAGAAACCAGAGGCCTTCCTCTTGGGCCTTGATGGCCAGAAAGTGTTAAAGAAGGATAGAATTTTCTTTATGTATGCAACTACAGCAGCAAGAATACTTATCGCAAAATATTGGAAGACACAAGATTTGCCCACACTGGAAGAGTGGCAGACGCAATTGATGGACTACATGGAACTGGCTGAAATGACTGGCAGAATCCGAGATTTGGGAGAAGAAACAACGGAAGAGGAATGGAAAAAATTTAAGGACTATTTACAAAAACAATATAAGTTGTATGAATGTTAAAAATTTACACGATTCGGAAACTATAGCTTCAGCAATTAAAACTGGGAAATAGAAAATTATATTTTAAGTAAGAAAAGGTTAAAATCCAAGGTAATACTATGTTTAATTTAAGATATAAGTAATTGATGAAAAGTATGCTAAACTTAGAGGTATAGTATTTGAAAAGTACAAAATAAGGTATGAAACAAGGTAATAATTTGCTGATATTTTATTATAAAGAATGCAGGGTAAGGGAGATGTGAGGAAGTCCAGTTAGTTATATAAAAAATGTGTTGAATGGTTGGTTTTTATTCTTTATTCTTTTCTTCTTTTTTCTGTTCTTTTATTTTTTCTTCAGTGTATGTTTCTAATTTTGTATTTGAAAACTTAATAAAATATTTATATATATATAAAAAATAAACAACTGTGGTTAAATGGATCAATAGTTTGACTCACTATAAAGGCACTTCTTGTAATATTGAAATATTGAGAAGCAAATGTGTTAAGCTAGAATTATAATTTGTAAAATCACGTATTGCATTAAAATTCTATGATTCCTCCAAGGAACTCGGAGGAATATTATTGTGTGGCACTGCCTCCATTCCTGAACTGCTGGGACCTCTCAGAAATAGTCAGGTGGCCTCTCTAGCCCTAGTGCTGACTGACCCCATGGCAGGACCAAGAATGTTATTTTTGCTTCAATCATTACCCATGATCAGTGGCGCAAGACACTTTATAAAGAATGGCAAAAAGTGATATCTAAATTTATCTGGCAGGGGGCAAAACCAAGGATAAAATATGAACTGTTGGTAGACTCCAAAGAAAGAGGTGGCTTCTCCCTGCCAGACTCAATGTTATGAAGCGTCCTTCCTATGCTGGTTTCGGGAATGGATACTGTTAAAAAATACTGATATATTAGACTTAGAAGGTCATTATAACAGGTACGGGTGACATGCATATTTAAGGTATGGAAAAACCAAAGTACATAAGGGATTCCTGAACCACTTGATAAGAAAATCAATCTACAAGGTTTGGGAGAGATATAAAAATTTACTAGAGTGGAGGATACCATGGTGGCTCTCCCCGCTAGAAGGAATATTGGTTAAAAAATTAATATGAGAGGTGATTGGGCAATTCATAAAGAATTGCTAAGTAGAAGATCAATTAAAACTGTAAAAGTTTGACGACATTAAAAGGTAAAGGTACCCCTGCCCGTACGGGCCAGTCTTGCCAGACTCTAGGGTTGTGCGCTCATCTCACTCTATAGGCCGGGAGCCAGTGCTGTCCGGAGACACTTCCGGGTCACGTGGCCAGCGTGACATCGCTGCTCTGGCGAGCCAGAGCCGCACACGGAAACACCGTTTACCTTCCCGCTGGTAAGCGGTCCCTATTTATCTACTTGCACCCGGGGTGCTTTCGAACTGCTAGGTTGGCAGGCGCTGGGACCAAACGACGGGAGCGCACCCCGCCGCGGGGATTCGAACCGCCGACCATGCGATCAGCAAGTCCTAGGCGCTGAGGCTTTTACCCACAGCGCCACCTGCGTCCCAACATTAGAGAGCTATTAACAGATTGGTTACAGTATCATCAATTAAATGATGTCTTCAAAAAAGGGTTTTGATACAGAGATGTCAAGGTTTGAAAAATATCTGTTGGAAAATAATGTGAAATTACTTTCAAAAATGTACAAATTACTCTTAGAATGGTTTACTAAAGATGAGGAAGTTAAACCAGTAATGATTCACTGGGCAATGGATTTTGGTTATAACACACAGTTTTCATCATAAGAAAAGTTATGGAAAGAGGATTCAAAGTTTACAGCTTGCGGTTTGTTGAAAGAAAATTACATGAAAATGATGTACCGTTGGTATTTGACACCCATTAAACCGGCAAAAATGTATAGAACCAGCTCAAATCTGTGCTAGAAATGTAAAAGGAAAGAGGGTACTTTTTTTTTTAGAAATGGAACCCATGGGAGGGAAGGAGATCTGAAGGTTTGAAATAATAATAATAATAATAATAATAATAATAATAATTTATACCCCGCCCATCTGTCTGGGTTTCCCCAGTCACTCTGAGTGGCTTCCAGCAGAATATTAAAATACAATGATTCATCAAAAATTAAAACTTCCCTAAACAGGGCTGCTTTCAGATGCCCCTGCAGCGCAATCCCCAGGACACACGCCACCCCCACCCCCACCCCCGCCTGCTCTCTGCCCCCGGAGTGGGCTGGGAATCTGCTGAAAGGCCATCAACATGGGATAAAACATCCCCTACCACTCTCTGGAAACCATTTGGATCCATTAAGTGGTGGGGGCGGACCATCTGAATTGGTCCCACCTCCCTGTAGAGGGGAAGGGTCATAGAGAAGTCCAGTTGCATAAGCTCTTTTTATTTTTTTATTTTTGAAATGGCTATGTTTAATGTGTACAACTTTATGTAAAACAAATAAAAAATTATTTAAAAAAAAAATGAATGCCTCCAGTGTTCTCTTAGAATGGCAACAGTGCTCACCTAACAGATGACGGAAATGAATTCCAACGAGTACCAGCTGAAAAAAAAGAGCTGGCCATTACTAACGTCTTGGTTGGACCGCCTCAAATATTAGCCCCATCCTCCCATCAAAGGCCATTTTCTCTGAGTTCCTCTCCTACCTTCCTGAGTGGAGATGGTCCCTTCAGAGCAGGGAGAACAATCATAGCAGCAGGGCGGCTTCCCTTCCTGAACTTTTCTGGAATATCCAGGGAGACAGCTTTCTGTGCATCTTGAACGAGGTACGGTCTAGGCATGAAGAGAAAATTGATCATGAAGGAGAAAGTGATAGGTGCATTTGTGCTACAATAGTATTGCAAATTACAGTACTAGGATAACAGTTAACAACAAACAGGAGCGTGGCATAAACCATCATATGAACATCAGCAATGAAACAAGTCCTCCATTTGTTGCCATCACATCTTCTACCGGGTTGACCACTTCTAAGACTGACTGATGTTTTGTTCCAAAGACTAAATGGAGTCCTTGGTGTTGCTTCTAAAGACAGCACCTAGTGCAGAATTTCGTACCCAATTTCTCTATGCCCAAACAGATGTGGAATACCTTACTATACTCCAGCCTTACCCAACCTGGTGCCCCTCAGATATCTTTGCACAAGGCTGGCTGGGGTGCATGGGAGTTGTAATCCACAATATTTAGTGGGCACCAGGTTGGGGAAATGTGTTCTGCTCTGCTTTGTAAATTCTCCAATTTACTTTGAAATTATATACATGTTTACTCAAGAGCAGGTTCCACTAAACTCAGTGGGACTTAGCTCCAAGGACACATCCACAAGATTGCAGTCAAAGCCTCATATGTTTTATTCAAAATCTTATTAGAGCATAGCAGATGTCATAGTTAATAAAATGACAGATCCAATTTTTCCTACCTTCTTAAATTGCTTGGGCCACACAATTGCTTTTGGGTTAATGGTGAACTTCAGATTTGAGGACTTTTGTTTCTCTATTCTCCCAATTGTCACTCTATCATGAGAGTAATTAGGAAACAGCACCCAATTCACAATATTGAAGTCAATGGCCAGTGCCCCATTCTCATCCAAGTACTGCCCATCAGCTGAAGTATTAGAGTAGAACTGGACTTCTTTTAAGAAATGATGAAGCTAGAATGACAGAGGAAAATCCAGCAATGAGTAAGCAGGGCTGAAGTATGTAACATGGTTTCATGTTCCCTCTGCATCCTAATCTTCTCTAAATAAGAACCACTATATCTCTCACCTGGAATCATCTAACCATGCTAGATTATTAGACACCCTCAATCTTCTTCAGCCTCAATCTTTTTGGGGTGACAAAAATCAACATTATTACATATATTAGGAAAGGTTGATTTGTGGGGACAGATCAGTGGCTAGACCGAGAGACTCTTAATCTGAGGGTCACGCGTTTGAGCCCCACTTTGGGCAAAATATTCCTGCATTGCAGGGGGTTGGACTAGATGCCCCTCATGGCCCACCCAACTCTACAATTCTATGATTCTAAGGTGTTTGGAAAAATATGTAAAACATGATGAACATGGCTTTATTAAAGGAAAAACACTAAGTTCGATGAAGGATGAAGTCATCTTTCTGCAGCAGGATGAAACAGTGTAAAGAAGGATATTGAGTGGCACACTGATAATCAAAGAATATAAAGATATATAAGGAATATAAGAATATAAAAGCACAATACATGATAAAAAAGAACACACACACCCCACAAACCAATAGCAACCCTCCCCCAACCCCTCACACAATGACCGCTCCCCGCTTAAAACAGGGGGCGCCCTTTGCGTGGACACGCGCAGCCCTAGATCTGGAGCGGACCTATCAGCATAGGCTTGGCTTTGCCTTCCCTCAGGTGGGATACCTGGAGGTCTCCGCCTACCTCAGTCAGTTGTCCAATCCCACCTGGGGGAAGCGTTGCCAAGGAGACCAGGCCAGGTAGGGGAGGGATTACCTGCCCACACAATAGAGGGAGGATCTTACCTGGGAATCCTCACTTGGCTCCAGAGCTTCTCCCACCCTACCCACCCTCAGTTAATGTCTTCTTTTGCAGGTTAACTTTTCTTCACAGGTTTTGCAGGTTAACTTTTCTTCACAGGTATGCGGGCGCTGCTATGTTAACTTTGCTGTTAAAGGGCCAGAAAGGAATTTCCCTGCATTGGCAGGTTTCGCCTTTCCCCGTAGCAAAACGTCATAACTTTGGCGGTATCAGGCCTTGGGCGGAATCCTTTAGTCCATCTTCCTCTTTGCGGCGGCGATACCAGGGTTCCCCGTTAAAGGGGTTTCTGAAGGGAGGCTTTGACCGTACGCCGAAAGGTCATCATTGCTCTCCCCTGTGGCGGTGGCATAACGGGGGCGGCTATCTCTGCTTGAACATATGTTCTCCAGAGCCGGCCCATCCTCCCCCACACACTGGATAACCATGAAGCTCCCTAGGTCCCCGGCTGGAGACTGGGGAGGGAGAACGCCCAATGCCTGAGCCAAGGTCTACCCACATTTGAAATTTAATAAAATTGTGGCCAATTTAATCCCATATCACGTTGTCTTGAGTCATTATTCCACATGATGGGGGGGGGACCGCTCAGGATCTGGGGGCTCCACCTGTCCACGCAAACACATTTAAAATGGGTATAAGATGTTATTCAGACAAGGGCCAAGTTAAAGAGTTATATGGAGAGAGGTAGTCCTTGAGGTATTGTGGTCCTGGATGGGAGAAACTTTGATGGACTTCTGCCAGCAGATGAAAATGTAGACAATACTAACCAGTGTTCCGTCACAGTGCAAGACAGTTCCCGATGATCCTATCATGGTGATTTCAGAGTTGGGACAACAAATTCCACTTTGCAAAAAGAAATGGACATACCTGCCATGGCTGTAGCATTTGAAGTTCCCAACTGCCTCCACCCACAATCAACATCCTCTTTGACCTGGATGAAGAGGCAACATTTAAGGCCTGAGCCACAGTTTGGATACTCAGGTAATTCACATAGCTGTCTTGGGACTGGATTCTTTCAATCTCTTCCTGGGGCAGCATCTTCACATTATCCTTCTCTCTGCATTTGGTCATACCTCTCACAGACAAGGCATGCTTTGAATATGAACAATCAAATGCTTCTTCTGAATACTGTTGATTAGCCAAGGACATTGGCCCATAATAGTCCTTGCTCATCCTTTTTTTGGTCTTCATTACAAAGGACAAAGAGCCGTGAGCATACTGGAAGCAGTCAATATCACATAAGAAAATTTTGTTCTGAAGAACTGTGATTATCCAGACTTTCCCCCCAGTTTGTATCTTTTCAAGTAAGGACTCAACCTCTATGATTATGTAGAGTCCACTTTGAGAGTCTGCAAAGTAAACAAATACATTGACTTGTCTCCACAGGGCAGATGCTTCATGGGGTATCCATAGCCACGTTTCTCGTAGTACTCTTTGTGTGAAGGCAACACAAATTTCCCTTTTGTTCATCAGAGGTGTCAAGGTACTCAGGAAGCTTTCCCCATTGTCATTGTTGGGAGCAAAGAGGCCGACCCACGTCCACCTGAAATGCAGGAGGAGTTGGACCATCCCCTGGTACTGCGTTTCTTGGTTTGGGGCCATTTGGTAGACAAAAGGGGACTGGAATTTATCAGAAAGAACAAAGCCATAACTGAGCTGGTGAAAAAAGGGAAAAAGAATGATGGTTTGTGTTTCAGGATTAAGCCTGGATACTTCTATGTGCACGATGTTGACAGATTTAGTGTAAACCTCAAATTTCTTTGGAGGTAAAAAAAAAAAGTTAAGCATTTTTTAATACCGATTAATTGCAAAATTTTCTATGAAATTAAGAAACATTCAATAAAAAACAATCAAGAAGGTAAAGCACTGTTATGTATTAAGCTTGGATCCCAGAACAATAGGCAGGTAGGATCCTAGAATGCAATAACTGATTGTCTTGCAGGAGAAGACCAATCAGGCTCCAGGAGGGAAGCAGAATCAGCCAATCAGACCGGACTCATTGTGTAAATAATGTATATAGAAGCCTGAGGTTTGGGGGGCAATTCAATCACTGTTTTACAAGCTGCAATAAAGAGCATGAAATCACTACAGGACTCCGAGTATATTTCAAGCACAATAATAAAACTTAAATTAAAATGTCTGCTGAAAGAAAATTCAAGTTTTGAGTAGGCCATAGAAAGACAGTAGGAAAGGGGCCTGGCTATCCTCAACTGCAAGGGAGTTCCATCACCCTTCATACCCTCCAACATCTGGGATAAGAAAAGGCTAAAGAGTGAACCCAACACAAATCCTAAGTCAGCTGAGTGCTGCTTTGTTTGCCTCCTTCCAGCAACTCCTGCAGCCAAGCTTGTGCCAAATGTATTGCTCTGCTTTCCTTTGGAGCACAGCAGTGAGGCTGAGAGGGAAATCTTGTCATCTGGGCAGGCCAGGACTTCTGTACCTACTGCCCAGGCTTGCACACCGTGGAGGTCATTTAGATACTGGTAACAAAGTGGTTTGACTTCATCCCAGAGGCTCACTCCATTGTCTTTCAAGACAGACAGATGCCAACAATAACAAAAACAACAACCATGTGGCTAATGTTGCCAGGTGTGTTTCACTTGGGCCAATAGATTACCTGTGGGATCTTGTAGATGCCCAACATGTTTGCAAGGTGTGTGGAGATGTCAAGTTCACTCTTTTCAAGAACAGCTAGCAGCCTTCTCTGTTTCCCACAGCTGTAGTTTGGAATATTGATTTTCCCACCAGCAAGCAGGTCTGTCATGGAGTCAGAAGTCAGTCTTCCCTTAGAATAGGTATCATAGATGCTGTAGCCCAGGGTGATGTTGGGTAAGATGCTGGGGTTATGATTAATATCCCGAACAGCAAGGGAGAAGGAAATAATGTGTGAGTTTTTCTTATCCACCCAGCTGCAAAACAAAGTGTGTCATACAGTCATCTTCAATTGGGTGAAAATGAAAGTCACATTATTTTTTGTATTAATCAAAGTAACTAAGAAAAGAGGCTAAGAGGTAGAGCAAAGTGCGACATTATAAAACGCTTTGAAACATGCCTGTTCCCCAACTGAACAGACATATAGGACTCTAGAAATGAAATCAAAATTGTCAAAAGTATCATAAAACAAGTGTATCATGGGTAATGGAGATTGGGTAGGAAGCAGAAATATATCAATGCATCATTACTTACGTCTCAAGTCTGCTGACAGGGGTGCTGGAAAAGGTGAAAGGATATTGAATATTAAAGTATCTTGGAGATGCGACTCCACTAATGAGGTGATCTGCTAGCCGGTAAAAATTTGCAGCCAAAACTTGTTCCTTGATTGGATTCAGTGGGCATTTTGTCCTCTGCTGCATCCCATTGGTTGCAAGAGGCAGGAACAGAAGAAGTGTTATCATTCTGGATCTACCTGCTACGCTTTCCTTGTAGCTGTTCCAAAAAACACTAGCTGCTGTTCATAATAAGCCCTAAATTCTTGCAAATCAGAGATTGCAATGAATTGACAAAAACAGGGAGGTGTCCAGCTCTGGACTCAGAGCTGAAGGGTGATGGTTCAGAGGTGGAGCATGTATTTAGCACCAAGAAGGTGAGAGGGTGCAATCTCTGCTCCCTGTTCCAGGCAAGCGTGAGGATGTCCCCTTCCTGGAAAGTCAGTCGGTCTAAATTACTGATCTGGAAGGCAGCATCACACAGATGTACCTTCTCACTTCACCTGCTCTGTGTCTTGGCCCCCAGGATTTTGTGGCACAATATATATTTTATACATCCAACCTTCCAGGCAGAGTTGAATAAAAAACTTCCTGCTGTCCTTAATTACGATATTTACCTTATTAGTCCCAAAGACAATATTCAAGGGGGGGGGCTACTTGGACTCTTTCCTAAGAATACAAATAGATCACTGTGATTCTGATGATTGTAAAGGGAAGA